TACCCCTTCTGAGGGAGGGTCATTCGACCCAAAACATGACTTTGACTTCTCTCCACAGATGCTGCCAGACCGGCTGAGCTTTGACAGCAATTTCTGTTTTTGTTCCATATCCCTCCAAATCTTTCCTATTTTTGTACTTACCTAAGTGTCTTTTAAACACTGTAACAGTGCCCACATCCACTAATTCCTCAGGAAGTTCCTTCACACACGAACCACCCTCTGTGTAAAAATTTTCCCCTCATATTTTTTTTGAAATGTCTCTCATCTCACCTTATAAATATGTCCCCAGTCTTGAAATCCCCAATCCTAGGGCAAAGTCATCTACTATTAACCCTATCTATATCCCTTATGATTTAATAGCCTCGATAAGGTCACCTGTCAACCTCCTATGCTCCAGTGAAAAAAAAAGAGTCCCAGCCTACCCAGCCTTTCATTATAACTCAAACCTTCCATACCTGGCAACATCCTGGTGGATCTTTTCTGAACCCTCTCTAGCTTAATAATATCCTTCCTATAACAGGGTGACCAGAACTGGACACAGTATTCCAGAAGAGGCCTCACCAATGTCCTGTACAACCTCAACATGATTTCCCAACTTCTATACTCAAAAGGACTGAGCAATAAAGGCAAGCGTGCTAAATGCCTTTTTATCCACCCGGTCTATATGTGATATGTGAAAGTACTGACAGAAATCTTCAAGGAATCCTTAGATTCTGGAGAAGTCCCAGAAGATTGGAAAGCTGCTAATATGCCATCTTTATTTGAAAAGGGGAGACAAAAAAAGATAACTATAGGTCAGTTATTTTAATGCCTGTTACTGGGAAAATGGTAGAGTTTACTATAAAGGACGTATTGGCAGAGCATTTGGAAATGTATAACATGATTAAGCAGAGTCAGCATGGGTTCATGAGGGGAATTCATGTCTGACAAATTTACTAGAATTCTTTGAGCAGATAACAAGCAAGATGGGGATGCAGTGGATGTCATCGATTTGGATTTTCAGAAAGAGTTTGATAAAAGGCAGAGAGTTGGGATAGGAAAGCATTTTCAGGATGGCAACCTGTAACAGGGATCAGTGCTGGGGACACAATTATTTACAACACATTAAGACTTAAATATGAGAAATGAATGAATTATAGCCAAGCTTGCAGTGACATAAAAAGAGTCATAGAGATGCACAGCACAGAAACAGATCATTCAATCCAACTCATCCACACCAACCAGATATCCTAAATTAATCTAGTCCCATTCACCAGAATTTGGCCTGTATCCCTCCAAACCCTTCCTATTCATACACCCAACTTTTAAATGTTACAATTGTACCAGCCTCCACCACTTCCTCTGGCAGTTCATTCCAAACGCGCACCACCCTCATTGATGGTAAGGCAAGTGTCGAGGATGGCATAAAGAATATACAAGGATACAGACAGGTTAAGCAAATGGGCAAGAACATGAGATAGAATACAATGTCGTCAAAATGTGAAATTATGCATGTTGGCAGGCAGAACAGACAAGTTGAATATTATTAAATTAGAGAAAGACTGGAGGAACATGCAACATAAGGCTTGGCTGCCCTGTTGTGTAAGTGATTGCGTCCCCAGCACTGATCTCTCTGGCATTCAACTAGTTACAGGTTGCCATCCTGAAAATGCTTCCTTATCCCAACTCTTGACATTAATTCCAATTAGAGATATTTCAGTGGGCTGTGGGACTAGAATAATTCAATAATTCACACTACTCGGCTTTAAGCGAAACAGATTCTGTTCTTACTCCCCAGTTAAAATACAAACAAAAGAAAGAAGTGATATAATTTTAACTCAATTGAAAAACTTAACAGAATAATAGATTTTTTAAACTGTTAAACAGCAACCGCTCTAATATTGTAACATCCCATAAACACACCCTTGGCAAAGGCAAATTCAATAAAATAGATTACCTCACATGCAATGTTTCTCCAGTTCAGGAAGAAAGAACATCAAGAGAAAATTGTGGCAGAAAGAGAGAAACCTCAAGCATTTTGCTGTAGCAGGTAGAGATGTATGGCAGCTTCTAAACCCCAACAACTACTATTGTTCCAACCTTTTAAAAATTTCCAAGGGCTCATAAGCTGTTTACTTTATTAGCTTGGAGACGACAGCTTGGCACCTATGGCTCAAAACCTCTCTTTGAAAAGAAAAAAAAAAGCAGAAAATATACACATAATTCAATAGTGTCATCACACCACCCTATAAAAAAAAACAAACCATCAATATACAAAGATAGCTTCATTTGTAAAACCCTTTAGTCTTAATGCGATAAGTACACTACAATACATACACATTACATTGACTCTAAGCATGCAAACATTCAATATTACTGTCCATTTCAGGCCATTTCTTCTGCCACTGAACACCTTTACCTTCCTTCATCAGTCATAACAAGGCATCAGCAATTACATTCTCTCGTTCCACCACGTAAATTTTCAAATTTAACAGCTGTAACAACAAACTCCATCTAAACAGTCTGGTATTTTTATCCTTAAATTTTTCCAATAATATTAAGGGGTTATGATCAGTGTATACAATTGTCTCAGACACAATATAGGCAACATAAATGTTGAAATGTTGCATACCAACACCAAATTCGAGGTCTCCTTCTCAATTGTGGAATATTTCTGTTGATAACATTCAACCTTTTGGAAAAATACCCAATCACACTTTCTACCTTCTTGTCATCTATTTGCAAAAGTACAGCACCAAGACCCACATCACTTGCATCGAGTGCCACTTGAATGGCTGTGTATAATTAGACGTAGCTAACAACAGGGGCACTGGTTAATACAGCTTTCAAGCTGTCAAATGCCTTCTGACATTCCTCCGTCCACTGAAATTTTCTGCACTTCTTCAACAAGTCAGTCAGTAGAGCAACCACACTCCTAAAATTTGGTACAAATTTCTGTTAAAAAACCACTCAGTCCCAAGAATCATAGTACTTCCCTCCTCATCAATAGTATGGGAAACTCCCCTATAAATTATATTCTCACATCCCGCGGGGCCATCTGTCCATGTCCATTGATATTGCCTAGGAACGTGACTTGGGCTTTTGCAAACTCCCTCTTAGCCAGGTTTATCAGCATGCCTGCCTTCTGAAGTCAATCAAACAATTCCGATAGATGTTCCGATACGTTCCTTCCACGTGTGACTAAAAATCACCAGATTGTCACACAAAATGACTTTCTTAATTAATCTTTGAAATGTAGCTGGTGCATTTTTCATACCTAATGGCATAACTTTAAACTGGCAAAGTCCATTCAGAGTCATGAAAGCAAAAATTTCCTTCGCTCTCTCTGACAAAGGTACCTGTCAGCATCCTCTGAGTAAGTCCAGCTTTGAAATATAAGTTGCTTGTCCCACATTCTGAATACAGTCTTCCAGCCGTGGAATAGGATATGAATCAGATTTCATAACTGCCTTGTCTTTGCAGTAATCAACACATAAAAGTTCGGTACTATCTGGTTTTGGCAATATGGATGAACTCCATTTGTTGTAACTCACTTTGATTATGTTGTCTTTGAGCAAGCTTTCAATCATTTTTTGAACCTGTGCCCACTTTAGAGGGGTAAGTCGATAAGGATGTTACTTAATTGGAACAGCATTTCCTACGTTTACATCACACATAATCATATTAGCACTTCCCAGCTTATTCCCACATATCTCTCCATGTGATCGCAATAACTGTTTCAGGTCATTTTGATTTTCCTCTGAAAGGTAACTCAATTATTTATTCTAATTTTTGAGAACTTCCTTATTGTCCAATTTAATTTTTGGAATATCAAATTCAATTTGTTTCAATTTAGTTCTTCACTCCGAATTATAACAAGTACCACATTCTCCTTTTGCTTTCCTTCCCCTTCAACATACTGTTTGAGCACATTCACATGATACACTTTTTAATCTAGCATTCTTATCAAATAATTCACCTCACGCAATTTCCTTTCAATTTGATAAGGCCCACTAAACCTTGCTTTTAAAGGTTCACCTCCCACTGGTAGTAATATAAACACTTTATCTCCTGTAGCAAAATTATGAATTTTTGATTTGTTGTCTGCTTCCTGTTTCATCACATGTGCTGTTTTCAAATGCTGTCCTGCCAACTCACCCACTTTGTGTAATCCTTCCCTAAAATTGATGCACAATCTAAATATATGGTCTCTGAACTCTGACTGACCAATTTCTCCTTAATTAATTTCAGTGGTCTTCTCACCTAATGCCCAAAAACTAATTAAAATAGACTGAATTTGATAAATTCATTTGGTGCGTCCCTAATTGCAAAAAGTACAAATGGAATTCCTTTATCCCAATCTTCTGGACAGTTTTGACTACAGGCCCTCAACATGGTCACTGAAGTTTGATGCCACTGTTCTAATCCTCCCTGTGATTCTGGATGGTACGTCGTGGATTTGAATTGTTTTATTATTACACTATTCGTACTTCCTTGAATAATTTTGTTGCAAAATTTGACCCTTGGAACTGATTGTCTCTCTGCGGGTAGTCCTATTTAGTAAAAAAATTGAGGAACACTTCTACAATCTTTTTAACTGTGATATTGCATAATGGAACGGCCTCTGGAAATTGAATCGACACATCCATTATAGTCAACAAATACTGATTCCCACTTTTTGTTTTTGGGAGGGGTCTTACACAACCAATTAAGGCTCTTGTAAAAAGTTCCTCAAATGCTGGAATAGGTATTAATGGTTCTGGTTTTATCACTGCCTAAGGTTTTCTTATTACACCTGACACGTAGGACATACGTCTGGCAAAATTCAACGATACCTCTATGCAGTCTAGGCCAATAAAAATGATTTCCTATTTTGGCTTGCGTTTTCATTACTCCCAAATGACCCCTACTGTTACCTTTTGGGGTCCCCGGAACCTCCTTTTTATAACATACATGGGGCCAGTGGCGCAATGGATAACGTGCCTGACTACGGATCAGGAGATTGTACATTCAATTCCTACCTGGCACAATTTCTTTGGTGGGCAGTGTGGTGGCTCAGTGGTTAGCATGGCTGCCTCACAGCGCCAGGGACACAGGTTCGATTCCAGCCTCGGGCGACTGTCTGCATGGAGATTGCACATTCTGCCCATGTCTGCATGGTTTTCCTCCGGGTGCTCCGGTTTCCACCCATAGTCCAAAGATGTGTGGGTTAGGTAGATTGGCTATGCTAAACTGTCCACAGTGTCTACAGTAAGAAATGCAGAGATAGGGTGGGGATGAGTCTGGGTGGGATGCTCTTTGGAGGGTCGGTGTGGACTCAATGGGCCGAATGGCCTGCTTCCACACTTTTGGGATTCTATGATTCTAACACATCAGTAGTATCACTGAATGAACTTCTGCCCAATTTTCATCTGGCTGAATAAGAAATAGTCTCCATTTCCTCATCAAGGCTTCATTTTTAAGATACTAACAAACTCGGATTCTTTCAGACATAGTCAGAACTGCCGATGCTGAAGTCAGAGATAACACACAATGGTGCTGGAGGAACACAGCAGCCCAGGCAGCACAGCAGCAAGAAAGTTGAACTGCTTTATTTTTTCATCTTTTTGTTGTAATTCAACTAACCTTTCTCAATTAAAAATATCCACTTTGTTCTCTACCCATTCTTGTTTTTTCTCAACCATTTGATCAAGCATAGTTTCTGATAACTGAACTTCGACTTCCTTGTCTTTGCTCTCTGGTTTCAACCAGGGACTTTGTGACCTTGTTACCACAGAGTCAGGAAAAATCCTAGGATATATTTCCTATAACATCTCAATTGCCTGATGTTCTGCTGTCTTTTCAACCACAGGAGGGATCACTCCCACCTGTGGTCCAGCTATATCATTTCCAAGGATAAACTGTATTTCCAGAACAAAGAATTTCTCTATTAGTCCTACCACCACTTGACCGGACTTTCCGACCTCACCTTATATAATGGAATATTACTCTTTTCACCGCGATTTCCACACTTTACCACCTTTTCTAGCAATACTCCGTCCAAAGTATATACCTCTTCACTCTTTCACCATCAAAGATTGAATTGCTCCTATGTCTCTTAAAATTTTAACTTCTTTACTTAACTTCATTGTGTACTATCTACAGGACGCACTGCAGAAATTCATCAAGGATCATCAGACAGCACCTTCCAAACCCACAACCACCTCCATCCAGAAGGACAAGGGCAGCAGATACATGGGAACACCGCCACCTTTATGTTCCCCTCCAAGTCACTTAACATCCCGACTTGGAAATATATCGCCATAACTTCACCGTCGCTGGGACAAAATCCTGGAATTCCCTCCCTAATAATATTGGGGTCAACCCACAGCAGGTGGACTGCATCAGTTCAAGAAGGCAGCTCACTACCACCTTATCAATACTGACCAGCCAGCGACACCCACATCCCACAAATGAATGAATAAAAAACCTACTCCTCCTGGTACATATCTGTAAACCTTATCCATACAGGTAATTCTTGAAAGAGATCTGGTACTTTCTTATTAACCAACTCTTGACCAGGCTGTACACCCTTTGGCAGCTCTTTAGCTTCCATTGGGATCTCCTGAACTACTTTAATAAACCTCACTGGCTCATCCTGTTTTATCACATCCATTTTCCCAGCGCTTTTCTTAAACCACCAACAACTACAACTTCATCTGTTCTACTTTATTAGAGTGAAAACACCTGAGGATTTTTACTTCTCTTCCCCCTACATGGGTTTCTTTTTTTAACCTGTGGTAAACTATCTTTACTAAGTTCAATGAGATCTCCTCTTCCTTTACAACTAGAAGATTTCACTTTTCCCCAATTTCTATCCCTCACCGATTGAGTTTGATGTTACGATCCAAGTCATAATTATCTGTCTTTCTGCTGATAATCTTGCAGTTTTAAGTCTCTGCTCTTCCACATGAATTCTCACATGAATTTCAGGAAGTGAATTTTTGAACTCCTCCAAATTAACAGTCTCCCTAAGAACATCATATCATAGAATCCCTACAGTCTGGCAACAGGCCCTTTGGCCCAACAAGCCCACAGTGACTCTCAGAGCATCCCACCCAGACCCATTCCCCTATAACCCACCTAATCTACACATCCCTCAACACTATGGGCAATTTTCCATGGCCAATCCACCTGGCCTGCACACTTTGGACTGTGGGAAGAAACCAGAGCACCCGACAGAAACCCACACAGACACGGGGAGAACGTGCAAACTCCACATAGACAGTCACCCAAGGCTGGAATCGAAGCCGGGTCCCTGGTGCTGTGAGGCAGCAGTGCTAACCACTGAGCCACCATGTCTGATCTATTTTAAATGCCTTTATCCACCTATCAAAATTACTTTGTTTGATCCTTTCAAACTCTATATACGTTTGACCAGGTTCTCTCCTTAGATTCCTAAAACATTGTCTGTAGGCTTCTGGAATTAGTTCATGTGCATTTAAGATGACATTTTTCACCTCATTATATTCCCCAGATACCACCTCTGATTGGAATGCAAATACCTCACTAGCTGTACCTACCAATTTTGTTTGAATCAGCAATGCCCATATGGTCATCAGCCATTCCATTTGTTTAGCCACTTTCCCAAATGAAATGAAAAAGGCTTCTATGTCCTTCTCATCAAACACTTGGACATATTTAAACTGATACACACCAGGCTTTTGGCTAAAGTCAGAAGTCACATGACACCAGGTTACAGTCCAACAGATTTATTTGAAATCACAGGCTTTCAGCGTGTAGCCCCTTCGTCGGTTCAAAGCTAAAAGTTTCAAATAAACCTGTTGGACTATAACCTGGCGTCGTGTGATTTCTGACTTTGTCCACCCAAGTCCAATACCGGCACCTCGGCATCAAGGCTTTTGGCTACAATGAGTTTGCTCTTCATCACTGTCCCCATCATTACTCCCTCTTTCCACCTTCACCATTTTAAGTCAACTTTCCTCCTTAATTTCCAACTTCCAATGTTTAAAAACTCTCTCTTTCTCCCTTTCTTCTGCTTTTAATTGTAATTCAAACTGTTTCATTTCCTTTTTATATTCAAGCTGTTAATTTTTTTGTTCTTTGTTCCACTGCAATTATCTCTCTGTCTGTCTCACTCTCTCTTGCCTTTCTTTTTCTTCTGCCAGGGCTATTCTTTCTTTTTTCCTTGCTGTTGCCTCTAATTCGAGCTGCTTCATTTGCAATTGAATTTTAAATATTTCCAATGATTTTGATTGCATTTCTGGCGATTGGAAATGTGAAGCCTTTGCTGCAATTACCTTCCCTTTTCCAGGAGACACAGGCAAATCCAACTTCAACTTGTTTGCCTTAATCTCTTTACGTAAAACACCCAAAGTGACTTCTTCCACCCCCAGGAAACTCTTAGCAACTGAAAGAGCTATTATTACACAAGGCTTGTCTAAACCAAATGAATGCAACAAACTCACTGTCTTTGAATCCAATAATACAAAAGCTAACCTTAAATTAGAGATCTTGATTCCGACAAAAGTGCCCAATTTGTCATGGACCAGACCAACACCCCTGCAAATACATCAAGGAGATAGCCAAGACCCTAACTTTTATCTTATTTAAAGTCAAGTGTAAGGTGCTGCGTTCTAGATGTAATTTGATTGGTCACTCTACTCAACTTTAAGCAAAACAGACTTGATTCTTATTTTCACTAGGCCCGAAACGTCAGCCTTCCTGCTCCTCTGATGCTGCTTGGCCTGCTGTGTTCATCCAGCTCTACACCTGGTTATCTCAGATTCTCCAGCATCTGCAGTTCCTACTATCTCTAAAATCCTGGTTCTTTGGGAGCCTGACTCCACACATTCATGCTGCTTCTATTTTTACCAACTTTCAAAAAAAAACCAAGGCTTCACAAGGTGATTACTTTATTGGCTTGGAGGAAACAAGCCTGTGGCTCAAAACCTGTCTTTAAAAGATAAAGGACAAAATACCACTCTAAAATCCTAAGTATTGTCACAATTGGGCACAGAGGAAAACTGAGAGGGACAAGGAGTTTCATAGTCTTGATATCCTGAAAGGTAGATTTGATTCCAACATAGCAGGATGCAGAAAAGCTGGAGGACAAAAGCAGCAGTATGTTGAGGCTTCAAAAAAATGCAAGAAACTTGTGTCTCAATGAAAAGAGAAAGGTTGTAAGATAGATGTGAACTCAGTAGTCGGGGAGACAGCAACTATGAAGCCACATATAAACATGTCAGAGACATCCCACACTATAGACTTAAATGCATTGCAAATAGAAGCATTTCTTTAATACATTAGTAATGTGTTAAATAGTTTAGACATTCCAAAACTTTAGAGAAAGCTAACATTAAATACATACATTTATTTTACTTTGATTTCTCAATATGTCATAAGTAAATGAGACGGTGCATTAACAAAGTCTTACCTTTAGTCATTTTCCTTTCTCCAATCCTGAACTTAAATGGTTTTCCATTCAGGAGATGTGAAAGATGCTCCACATTCCACTTCAGTGCTGGCCAGTCGGAAACCATATTGAGGAATACTGCAGGCTGCTGCAATGATGCCATAATAACCCTAACCTCCTCAGGGTTAAATGGCTTACTATCTACAGGAAGGAGAATACATACGAAAGACCAATTGCAGCTTCAGATTTGATCGGACCATCAAAACTTATAAAAAGCACCTTATGAAAATCTCTCCTTCCCTTGCAAAATGTTATTGTGTTTATCACAACCCTTCAAGTTACCTGTGCTTTGCAAATTTTGGCATCCTTCAAAAGTAATTACTCCGCCATAGGTGGATTCTGATTTCAATTGCCTCAGTGCTAAGCTCTGGAATTTATTCCCTACAGCTCCCCACTTCTTCCACCTCCTCTAATTTGTTCCAAAAAGGCTGCATCTTTTGGCCATCTGGCTAATGTCTATCGTGGGGCTCAATGTCAAGTTTTGTTAGATAGCACTCCAGTGAAACACCTTAGGATGCTTTACTATGTTAAATACTAGATATAAAATTAAAGCTGTTGTTGTTTAGCAGAATCAGCAGTTTCCTCCCTCCAAGTGTTATCACACCAGTCAGTGCAAACCACCACCAGTGAGAAACTCATTGACTTGTGAACCAGGCATCAGCTTCATCAACTCCCCAAACCCTCATGTCTTTCATGACAATTGCTCCTACACTGAGTTGTTTAATTGTCCACCACCATTAATAGCTGGATGTGACAGGACTGCAGAGCTTAATAAATTTGATCTCTTATTTGTGAAATTGCTTACTGTCTATCTTTTGCTGCATTGGGCTACTTGTGTTTCAAACATGTTGGAGCTTTATCGGGTTGTTTTGTTTTTAACTTTTGGGTATGCCTGGTGTTGCTCCTGCACTCTTCAGTGAACCAGGGTTGGCCTCCTGGTTTAATAGTAATAGTCGAGTGAAGATATGCTGAGCCTTGAAGATAGATATTCTGAAGTTCACTACTGCAGCTAATGGCTCTCAGCATCTCACGTATGTCCAGTCTTGAGTTACTAGATCTATTAAAAAATCAGGCTAAACAGGGTGGGACTCTACTCATTGGAAACTAGAGGAATGAGAGGTAATCTCATTAAGACTTAATACTTATGGGGGTTTAACAGGGCAAATGCTGAGAGAATGTTTCCCCTCATGGAAGAGTCTAGGACCGGGGCATGGTCTCAGAATAAAAGGGTGCCAATTTAAGACTGAGATGAGGAGGAATTTCTTCTCCGAGGGTGGAGTGTCTTCGGAACTCCTTGCCATGGAAAGCCGTGTGTGTGTTTTGGGGGTGGGCAGAATGGTTGCGTATATTTAAGGCAAAAATAAATAAATTTGCGACCAGAATCAAGGGTTATAGGAAAAGGGCAGGAAGGTGGAAGTGAATCAGCCGTGACCGTATTGAAATGGCAGAGCAGACAATGGGTTAAATAGCCTACTCCTGTCTTTGTTTTTTATGGCTTTATGATTTTGCACTGTGGTAGTGCCACACATGATGGGGAATATGATATCCTTAATGTGAAGGCAGAATTTCATCACCACAATGACTGTGCAGCGGTCTCTCATATCAATACTGTCACAGACTGATGCATCTGGCAGTTTGATTAGTGAGCATGAGGTCAAGAATTTTTTTCTCTCTTGTCTCCCTCACTAGCTGTTGCAAGCCCAGTCTAGCAGCTATGTACTTTCAGGTTCGATCTGCTTAGTCAGTAATGATGCTGCCAGAACACTCTTGGTGATGGACACTGAAGTCACCACCCAAAGTACTTTCAGTGCTCTCGCTACCCTCAGTTTTTCCTCCAAGTAGAATTCAACAAGGAGGAGCCCTGTTTTGTCAGTCAAGAGACAGGCTGTACATGGTTATCAGCAGGATGTTTCCTTGCCAATGTTTGACCTAAAGCCATGAGATTTTGCAAGTCAATGTTGAGGACTCCCAAGCAACACCCTCCTGACTATGTACCTCTACCTCTGCTGTCTTGTCACACTAGCAGAACAGATCTAGCACAGGTCCCAAGGATGGTGACTGTGTTGTCTGGGATATAATATGCATAGTACGATTCCATAATTACTGATTATGTCAAGCTGTTTCTTGATTAGTCTGTAAGATGGCTCTAGTAATTTGGCATTAGTCCCCAGTTGTTCATCAAAAGGACTTTGCAGTGTCGTCAAGGCTGAGTTTGATGTTGTCGTTTCCAGTGCCCAGGTCAACGCGAAGTGGCCTGTCCAGTTTCATTCCTTTTCTGAGCCATCTTTGTGGTTTGATACAACTAAGTTTAGGTTTGTAATGTAGATTCCTGGACCAATGATCCAGAGGCACAAGTTCAAATCTTGGGTTGGCAGCTAGGAAATTCCAATTCAATTTATTTCAGATTTCATTTAATTAATTGCTGTCACTATCTGTTGCAAAATGATCGAGTTCACCAATGATCTTTAGGGAAAGGAAGCTGCTAGCTTTACCCAATGTGTCTCCCTACCCACAGGGATTGTGCTGACCCATAAATGCCCTCCAGATGTTCCGAGCAAAACACTTACTTGTTGGAATAGACAATAAACATTCGCCTTGCTAGCAACGCTTAGATTCCACACATGAACTTAAAAACTACAGTCCCACCCAACTTATTCTATCCCTTCCAAGAACTTCAGTGTTGTCACCCAGTTATACATTCACTTCTCTTGGAACTGTTCATGTAAATCACTCTAATCAGTTTTCTTCCAATTCCTCAGCTGCATGACTTTCCTACTCAGTTACCCTCAAGAGCTGGACAACTGCCTACAGAATTCCTTTGTTCCAGAAGAGGATAATGGGTAGGCCATGTAATTACAGAACAAGCAGGCTAAAATTGGCTGTGAGCAAACCACCCTCAGGCCGTATCACCACAGACAATTAATACTCATTTTGAATGATATAGGCTAATTAAGAGCAACCAACATTAATTTACAAAAGACAGAACGTCCTTACAATTCCAAATAGTTTTTTTTAAAAAGATCTAACAGAAACTAATGACTGAGGAAATGCAGTGTATATTTGCGGATGGATTTTTGAAATGCGCCTGATTAGGTGCTACAGAAGGGACTTTCCGACAAAATTGTGACACAGACAATTAAGAAAAAGTAGCAGCAGGAATAGAAGGCTGGATGAAAAGTAGAAAACAACCAATACAAGCAAAATCAGATTCCAAATGCTCAAAACATGAAACAAAGACTAAAAACAAAATGCAGGAAGCAATCCAGCAACCATGGCAAATGCAAAGTGATGGGGTGGGGAGCTGGTTCTGGGCAGAATGCTGTTCAGACAGTCGGTGCAAACTCAATGGGCTGAATGACCTCTTTCTGAACTGTAGGAATTCTGTAAATTTTGAATAAATAGGATGTAAAGAGTAATCTCAGAAGTCAATGTAGGAATCATTGCTTTTCTCAGTCAGAGCAGAGACATTGTCTATACGGACTCCAGCAAGGCATTCGACAAGGTTCCACATGGTAGACTGGTTAACAAGGTTAGATCACATGGAATACAGGGAGAACTATCCGTTTGGATACATAACTAGCTCAAAGGTAGGAGACAGAGGGTGGTGGTAGAGGGATGCTTTTCAGACTGAAGGCCTGTGATCAGTGGTGAGCCACAAGGATCGGTGCTGGGTCCACTGATTTTTGTCATTTATATTTGGATGTGAATATAGGAGGTATGGTTAGTAAGTTTGCAGATGACACCAAAGTTGGTAGTATAGTGGACAGAGAAGGAGGTTACCTCAGACTACAATGGGACCTTGACCAGATGTGCTGAGGAGTGGTAGATGGAGTTTAATTTAGATAAACGTAAAGGTGCTGCATTTTGGTAGGGCAAATCAGGGCAAGACTTATACTCCTAATGGTAAGGTCCTGGGGGAGTGTAGCCAAACAGAGAGATCTTGGAGTGCAGGTTCATAGTTCCTTCAAAGTGGAGTCGCAGGTAAACAGGGTAGTGAAGATGGTGTTTGGTACGCTTGCCTTTATTGGTCAGTGCATTAAGTTATAGGAGTTGGGAGGTTTTGTTGCAGCTGTACAGGACATTGGTTATGCCACTTTTGGAATACTCCGTTTAGTTCTGGTCTCCCTGCTTTGGGAAAGACACTGTGAAACTTGAAAGAGATCAAAGAAGATTTACAAGGATGTTGCCACGTGGGGAGGTTGGAGCTGTG